TTAAGCTTTCTTTGATTATTCTGATGTCCTCAACTAGTAGATCTGGTTATACACATTTGTAACAATCTTTGTTCTGCTCATTTATAGGATGAAGAGCTTGGAAGTTCACTACTCACAATGTTGCAAAATAGATTCGCCAAGGAGAAAAGAGAATAAATTATTTTATATTATTATTATTAAGCTGATGTGTACATAATGTGCATTAATCATGTTCAGATTGTATCTTGTGGAAAAGATAATACTAGTATTTAGATAATATTTTTGTTGCTCAAAACAAAATGTTTAAAATGTCCTTAAGTCAGAATCACTATAATTATCTCTTGGTTTTGTATATCTTTTATAAACAGTATATTTTCTTTGATGCTGTGATTTGCGTTAATCTTTCTGCTGCAGAAGATGTGGTGAATTTAGTAGCTGTGCTGGCAGTGGTACTTGCTGAGACTCTAGCATCTTCACCAAATCAACAAACATATGTGTGAACGAGTCGAGGAATATGTCAACATGTTGTCCATGGCTAACTTGAAGCACTTTTATTCAGCTGCACAAACATTCTGTTTTTCAGATCGTTTATACTGTGTTAGCATTAATATTCATTATATGTATTTTTGAGCATTCCTACTGGGTTGAAAATCCAGATTTTTCATTAAAATAGTGTTTCTTACTCACAGCAAAATTAAAACACACTGAATAATTAATAATGTAGTTACTGTTTCGAAAACAAATTGGGAGTCAAACGGTGCGCTTACGGCGAATGTAAGAGTGATTCTCGCTTTCAGAATAAAAATTATTCGAATGTTGTTTTTTTTTGCGATTCCCTGAAGGAAAAACGCAGTCTGAAAAGTGCGATTGATGGATCAGTGCCTGTTATCGGGAAGAAAATTTTGGTTGACACAATCATCCAGGACACGTACGCTTGTTCCCTGCACTTTGTGGGAGGAAAGGGTCCTATGGAGTCGCATCCAGACCCAATACCAGCGACTGTGAGAGGTGTTGAATGCCATATATTCGAGTCGAGGACATCACTGCGTGGCAATCAAAAGAAGCGCCGGAAACAATGAAACCTGTTGATATGGTTTAATTTTCTCTTGCAAGTTGTACTGATTGGAACTTCACCGTGCTTGTTTCCATGCCATCAACAATGTTTTAATTTTATGATGTGTATTTCATTGCGATCCCGAATAACATTATGGTTTAGCATGGGATTGACCATTTGTTGTTATTTAAAACTCCCAAGTGTACATCTTAAATTGTCTTATCGTTAGTATCCAGATGAAAACCATGATTTAAATGCGAATAGCAATATTGCCACAAAGTTAGGGAATAGCCCTCCTGACAAAGAGCTAGGCCTGAATGTTGGCAAGTGAATTCTATTACTAAGTGCAGAATTAAATTATAATATTTAATACTTGTACAATTTAATACTCATACTACCGGGTTTTAAAAATAGTTTTATTTAACTTCCCGTCTATGTGGAAAAGTTATGAATTTTCAAACTATGTATTTTTAAAGCATGCTTGTTGTGTACAATAAGCAATATTGACAGTTTCCTGTCATTTGTATGGATGCGTGTGCGTATCGTGCATTGTCGACAAATTCCTGTTATCCATATGAACTAATGTGTGAAATCATGCAATATTGGCCGTTTCCCGTTATTTGTTTAGGAAACTCAAAGGCTGCTCAAGCTACTAATGGTGAAAGTAGTAGTAATGTGAAATATGTGTATTTGGCATGCATGCCAGTACACTGACAGATGTTACATTGGAACAAGCCCGTCGCCAAACAACCTGAAATCTTAGCACGATATGTAGGCCCCGAGCTTCTTCCAGTCATAGTCGGACCGATAACACATTTAAAACATCGGACAAGCCGAATTCTGGAACATTCCTGAAATTACTAGAGTAGCCCGGTAATTTCAAAGGATGAAATTGCAACCAAGTTTACTAAGTCTTGAAGCGACGTCATTTTATAGGATCATGGCGTAAAAATCAGGGTCTTCCTCGAGCTCCAAATCGTGCACAGCTTTAGCGATTGCAAGAACAATATTCTTTTTATAGCTGGACGATGAAACGCCGAATTTACGCAAGAAGTCTTTGAGCTGTGGCACGGTCATTCTGTCGAAGTCAACCATGGTCGAAAACGTGAAAAAAGATGCAAGAAATCAGTCGGAAATTTAACGCACGACATTAGGCACACGCACGATTTAGCGCTATTTTGATTCAAAGCTTGACCTGTATCACATGACTAGCAACCGGTTGCTAGGCAAATTTAACGGTCTCGCGAGATCTCGACCGAAGCGGAAAATAGCCTATTAAAGAATCACATAGGCCAGGGTCATGTGTAGATTGCAGTGCAAAGTATATAACCAGTATATATTTGATTATTCATACTCCATTCATAGCAACAATTAAAGAACCACATAGGCCAGGATCATGTGTAGATTGCAGTGCAAAATAATTAGCAGTATACATTTGATTATTCATACTCCTTTCACAATAACAATGCATCACATAGGCCAGGGTCATGTGTAGATAGCTGTGGAAAAATACATTATAGGCATAATTTTACTCCATTCCCAGTGACAATTATAGCACCACATAGGCCAGGGTCATGTGCAAACTTGTACATTAACAATTGTCATCATACTGCATTTACAGTGACATAGGCCAGGGGCATGTGTGGATAGCAGTTGCAAAGTACATTAAAGAGTATACCGATAATTCCATTCACAGTGACAAGTCAAATATCAAATAGGCTAGGGTTATGTGGGGATAGATGACATTTCCTTCTTCATGCAGTATAGCAGTGGCAGTGGCTTTTGTGTAGTTGGAGAGAGTTTTGTCAGTCTACACGTTGCCATGTAGAATTTAGCAGCATTTTGTTTTTGCTACTTTCATTCAGTTTTATTGTTATTTAGTTTGAATAACATCGTTATTTGATTATTGCAGTAATCATACTTGTAGTTATACAACTCCACTACATGCATGGTGAGGGATGAAACCTGCCACCTTATCTCAGGTGCATTCAAGCATGTGACGAGTGCAGATTTCCAGAGGTTTTTAGTCCCGGTATTTTTCGGGTTTTTATTTTTGTTTTCTGCACGGCTTATGCGCCGTTTACAGGGATGTCAGTTTTACTATAGTTACTAGTTTTCAATTTTCTTCATTCAATCATGTTTATGTAGTTATTCCACAGATTTGATAATAAATCCTGAGATCCGTGTGCTTGTTGCAACGTGATTACACTTTGATTACTAGTGTGTGCATGGTTTTATGGTGCGCCAGTTTGGTAGAGTGTAAACCGATGCAAAATACATTAACAATTGCTATCCTACTGCATTCACAGCGACAAAGCAGCACTTGTACGTAGGCCAGGGTCATGTGTAGATAGCAGCAGAAAAGTACATTACGTGCACATATTTGAATATGCTTAGTCCATCCACAGCAACAATTAAAACATCATATAGGCCAGGGTCGTGTGTGGACAGCAATGAAAATTACATTAACATGCGCATATGCGTACTCCATTTCATAGTATTAATTAATGTACCGATATAGACCACGGTGATGATAGCTGCGAAGAAGTAAATTACAAGCATTATTTATTATTCATACTCAATTCAAAGCGACAATTAAAGCATCACATACACCACGGTGATAATAATATTTTCTTCTTTTATAGCACATTACATTACAATTCGTAAAGTGCTTCAATGTACATATTCTACAAATTAAAGATAAAATCCTGCAACTAAAATATCGGCGTTGTAATTATTTTTGTTTTATATATGGCATAAAGCAGAAAAATTGTGCATGAACTATAAAATTGTACTAGTCCATTAAATTGAATCTAAAATGTTTTTAAAAACAAATTCTGTGTTGGAATATGCATTATGTTTGGAGTTTTAGGTGAGATTTGATGAAAAGAAAGTAGGTTCGTCATCAAAACTTCTGCTAGTGCTTTCCATGCCCTTGGAGCAGCTACCACCTAATTTTCATAGTACTCCTGTATAAAGAGACGCAACTAAATTAATTATAGACGAAAAATTAATGGAGTCAGTCAGAAAAGTCGGATGGCGCTTCGCCAGGCAAGATCTTATGTGTGATAATTAATCACAATACGTTGATAAATTGGTAACCAATGAGGTGGTTCATTGCTTATACTCGACCAGTACAATCGCAATACACACTCAAATATACAGTGCGACCTAACCCCAATCGGATTCACGCTTCTGATTTGAAAATTGGAAGGAAATGCTATGTTCGGTTTGAAATTTTGACAATTAAGCCACCTTTGAATATATTGTCTATCGATAATAATTAATTACCCGTGCCAAGTCGTAATTCACTCGTCGTGACTAGGAAGATTCTTTTCATTTCCATAATGTTCAATTTCACGCCTTTATATGTGTGGTCCTCTTAAAGCCGTTGTGTATTCAGAAGCCCATCGTTGCCAGAATGTCAGTTGTAATTTGGAGACGTGATTATATCGGCGACATAAGGGTAAGCAGATACTATTTTTACCACAAACTAGTTGCGATGGGACGAAAGGGGTTAATTAAATTCAAGTATACATAGACTTTTAAACAACAGCTATTAAGTCTCGCCGCAGTAGACAGCTCCTGCCAGGCTCCGGTAAAACCGTGTTTCCATCAACTTGTAAATCGATTATGTAGTACCAAAGTAAATGCATTTGACTATGAACATCATGTCATCAGTTATATGTTGTATTTATAACAATAAATAACCTAAAATTTCCTTGATAAAACCGACACGCGTTACGCTTGAAAAATCAACTGCTATCAACAAACGTCACGTGATGAGGATGCACAAAAACTGGTGCGTCAGTCTAATCATGGAGGTAAAAAGAGAAGGGGTCACAACCAAAACAATCCTCCTAAACTTCTTTTGTTTTAGTCAAGTTTAATCCCGTAATTCCCTTTGTTATATCGTCCTTTCACGCCAGGAACGTCGCCGACAGCCATTTACTCTCAAGCGTTGAAGCGTATAGCACACACTCCTTTTTCTTGTTTTACGGTAATAATAATAAATAATTCTTTGTGTTGTGTAAAAATAATTGGCAAGTTCTTTAATTATGCCAGTATCTTTGCTTGAGAGTATATATGTGAACTGTATATTTTTTTATTTTTTGGATGAAAG